CCAAAACATTTTCTTTTCTAGAAACAACATTTTTATGAAAAGAAACTCTATGTTGTTTACCCGCCAAACAATGAACACAAGTTTTAAGATGTGTACCTTTCAAACCGGGAGAACTAACTGCTGAAGCATAAGGAACTTTCAACATCTCTTCTTTGTCTTTCTCACTTATAGGACATTGATTCGAACTAAGCTTGAAGTGACCCGCTAGTGGACAACCAACCGGCTTTGCTTTATCCATATTAAACCTCTCAAGAACTTTCTCGATGTAGCTTTCTTGAGACAACCTAATCAGCCCCTCTTTGCGATCACGAACAATTTTCATACCAAGTATTTGCTTTGCCGGTCCCAAATCTTTCATAGCAAAAGACTTGCTTAACTCCAATTTCAACCTGTTTATCATGGTAGAATCTTGACCCACAATTAACATGTCATCAACATAAAGCAAAAGAATAATAAATTTACCATCCGAGAAATTTTTCACAAACACACAATGGTCCGAAGTGGTTTTAGAAAAACCATTATTCATCATGAAAGAGTCAAATTTTTTGTACCATTGCCGCGGGGCTTGCTTGAGGCCATACAAACTTTTCTTCAATTTGCAAACAAATTTCTCTTTTCCTTTTTCCACAAATCCTTCCGGTTGCTCCATGTAAATTTCTTCTTCAAGATCACCATGCAGAAATGCGGTCTTCACATCAAGTTGCTCAACTTCAAGGTTCATACTTGCAGCCATGCCAAGTACAACCCGAATAGAAGACATCTTTACAATTGGCGAGAAAATTTCATCAAAATCAATACCTTTCTTTTGCCCAAAGCCTTTCACAACAAGACGTGCCTTGTACCTCAGATTCTTGCCATCATTCTTCAATTTGACACTACAAGAAATTGCATTTTTTGCAACGCAACAAAATATGTTGCTAAAAGGGAAAATTCGTTGGCAAAGAATTTTGCCAACACACAAAGCTACGTTGGCAACCCGTAGGCAAAAGTGAGTCGGCAAAAGTTTTTGCCGACGAAGTTATCATTGTGTTGGTAAAAGTAATATCTTTAGCGACGAACATAGTCGTCGTTAAAAGCCTTCATGCATTGTCGGCAATTTACCTTGCGTCGGTAAAAGTCATTCAAATATGATGATTGTGTGGCACTTTTCGCGACACAAATTTGCATGGGCAAAAAATATACTTTTAGCAACAAAATATGCGTCGGCAAAAGTAAACTTTTGGCGACACATTTACGTCGGTAAATGTTGCCATTTGCCTACGATTTGTTTGTCGATAAAGCTTCACTTTTGGCAACGACAAACTAGCATTGGCAAAAAATACACTTTTAGCAACACAATATGAGTGGGTAAAAGTAAACTTTTGGCAACACATTTACGTCGGTAAATATAGCCATTTGCCGACGATTTGTTTGTCGATAAATGTTTACGTTTGGCAATGACAAATTGACATTGGCAAAAAATACACTTCTAGCAACACAATATAAGTGGGCAAAAATAAACTTTTGGCGACACATTTACTAACAAAAATAATTGAAAATAATTTATATATTTTTATAAGATTTACAGATTTACAAGAGGCATCCCTCAGGCACCACTATTACAAACTAATAACATTGATATGAAATCACCTAAAGTTGATTTGCAAGCAAAAAAAACACTGCTGATACTGTTTTTAGAAGCAGTGTATAAAACCTAAAAGGGTAAACTCAGTAAAATACCCAAATACATTCAAATTGTGAACCCACATTACAAACAACAGATAACAAAATGAAAACATGAAACTAACAAATACAGGCAAAACGACACGAAAAGTATCCACAAACTTATCCAGCAGACCAAACATCTAGTAGCAGCCGCCTCACAACAACATTGCAGCAGCAGCAGCCTAACAAGCATCAACCACAAGGGCGGCAGCAGCAACAAACCAACAGTTGCAGCAGACGAATCTGATTCATGCATCTCAAATGAATCTGATTCATGCATCTCATATGAGCTTGGTGCATCTGCAACCTTTAGGCCAGCTGCTTAATTTGACATTCCTGGGGGCATTTCAGAAGAGATGACCAACATGTAAAGGAATTTTAATAGGAGCTACTCAAGCCAAGTTCTTTGCTAATCCTTGCATGATAATTAGAAGAAGAAAAAAAGAATGTAAAATACCCACTTTGGAGGAGAACATCCATTCTTCTCTACATGATACAAGTGCATTAGCCTCCTGTACATATGAAAACAGAGCTAATTCAACCCGGCCAACGAACTTGGGTGCCAGAAGATTCTTATTCTCTCTAGGGAGCTTCTAACACAACTCTTCTAAGGAGAAAAGCATTGATTTCCGCAACCATGTTGCAATTTTTAATATACGATGCATAGAAATGTTTGATATGAAAGGGTTTTAATAGTATAATTGTTGACAATTAAAGAGAGCATATATATATATATATACCTTCCACCTTGTATTACTAAACAGAAAAGAACCGGGCTTGAGTAATATATCAAGTTGGTTAAGCTCAACTAAGGCGCCTCCAACAGCTTGAGCTAAGTTCTTGTCATCATTCGCATCATAAAAACAACCCCGAGCCTTGGCATCTACAACTAATTTTTTCCACACACTGCCGCTATTAATCAAAGTAGCACCATTCCCCAAAATCCAAAGGCAATGCCTACACCACCCCAAAAAAAAAACAAAAAAATTACCACACAGTAAAGTAGAGCTTAATTATCACAAGGTTCGGCTATGCAAAAAACAATACCTTGCTCGAGTGAGAGCCACATTAGCCGTTTGACAATTGGAAAGAAAGCCCACTGATCCACGCCCATTACATCGCACAGTAGAGATAATTATGATATCTTCCTCACCACCTTGAAACCCATCAACAGATCGAACACTTACAGAAAAGTCACTGTTTGCATTTGTGTTGTACGTTTTTCCAAATTTTTGTTCAAGTGCAAATACTTGAGCCTTGTATGGTGATATGTAACCAATCCTAACCTTCTGTTTTGACACCTTAGATTCTGTAGATCACGATTGAGGTAGAAAACAAAATAAAATTACAGCCTGTTTGGTAATGCTTCTATTTCTATTTTTGTTTTCCAAAAACTTGAAAACTGACCAAAAAAATTGTTTTGAGGCCTCGGATTCTGTAGTGGGAATAATGCAGCCAGATATCAGAATCCTCACTTATTGATCATGATTCAGGCAGAAAACACTAAAAAGTTATAGCCCATTTGGTAATGTTTTATTTTCTGTGTTCTATGTTCTATGTTCTGCTTTCTGTTTTTGTTTTCAAAGAATTCTAAAACTTTTCATTGACTATAATAGAAAAGAAGTACCTTTAAAGAGTCTTGCAACAATATCGGTAGCCACAGCTACCTCCACCGTGTTTTTCGTACTATGTCTGTTATCAAAGCCCTCTTGGCCATAGCTTACATTTATGAAGGAATAAGAGCCATACATACTTCCTCGAAGAAAAAGCCTCTCGTAGGTTCTCTCTTTGACATTCGGACCATCAGAAATCATATTGTCATGGAATTCCCTATTCGGAAACATGCTTATTGATGGATGCATTCTGTATTGGATACTAAGAAGATGCTTTTTATGCCCTAATAACACCAGCCTCTCGAATAAGCTTCTTCCAAATTCAACATTCTGGCATATCTATTATGCATAGATTTTCAAGATGTCAATACAAGATAACAATTTTTATAAAAGATTGATAAACACAAAGACAATTAAATTAAATTAATCAGAAACCTTGCTTTGAACCATTGAAGGAAGTTGTCGTTCATCGCCAACGAGTATAGCATGACGGATACCAGAGAGCTGTAATGGAATAGTGGATTCACATTCTTTGAGCTGAGCAGCTTCATCGATCACCAACAGTTCCAGTGGGTTTTCTTCTTCTGTACACAACTTAGCAGAGCTTGAAGCAGTGCAGAATATCAAGCACGCATTTTGCAAGCAAAAACTTCGAATTACATATTTGTCAGTAGTATTTAGAGCAGAAAAGGTTTCGCGAAGGAATTTGAGTACTTGAAGGCACTCTGCCTTGACAGAACTCAACTTCATGAATCCATTAATCCTGTTTCTGACATCTGCAGTTCCATTAATGAGTTCTCTCAAAAACTTATTTGCAGCAACATCAGTACGCAGCAAAGTTCGAAATGATTTTAGCAGATCAAGAGCTCTAATCATCTTTCTGGCTACTTCCAATGAAATGATAGAAGTTGGCATGTGGGTGTACAAGATTGGAATAAAAAAGATGAGATCATTTCCAATGATAGAAATTGGCATGTGGGTGTACAAGATTGGAATAAAAAAGATGAGATCATTTCCAATGATAGAAATTGGCATGTGGGTGTACAAGATTGGAATAAAAAAGATGAGATCATTTCCAATGATAGAAATTGGCATGTGGGTGTACAAGATTGGAATAAAAAAGATGAGATCATTTCCAATGATAGAAATTGGCATGTGGTTTTCCCAATTTTCCAAATACAAACAGTACAGCTCTTCGGGGCCTTAAAGTAAGCAGATCATTGCTTCCAAATTTTTGTTCCACCCAGTCGCTGGAGCAAAAGCTTTGCGAAGCATAAAAACACGGTAATCAAGAATTACATCAAGAAGGTCTTCATGTTCATCGATCTTCATTCGCTTCCAATTACCAAACAATACTATATCTCCCAACCCATAAGTATCATCCTTGAATGCTTGCCAAACCAAACTCGTGAGCCATGCTGTGACTACTTCCAACACTGCAATGTTGGTTGGGGCACAGGTTAGTGTTCTGCATTTCAACTTCAATAGAGAAAACAATAATGAACCAACTGCCTTGGTTTTCCCGGTCCCAGGAGGACCCCATATTAGTTTGACAGTATTTTGATGATGACATTCTCTTGTAGCAACACAACTTAGAACAACGGCCTTTTGGGAATCGTCCAGATTAAATGAGCTTATGACATTCCTCACACTGGATGGAGAAACACTATCATTCTCTTGGGACAAGCAGTGAATACAATTGGTCCCAATCTGTAAAATAAGTTAGAACAAGTGAAAATGATTCAAGCAAATGTATTTATCTACTTAAGACTGAATCCAGTAAGAAAAGAATGCAATATAAATATGAATCAAATAATGAGAAAGGAATGCTATATGTATACGAAAGGCAATAACGCTACAAACACAGCACATGAGTTTGTAAGAAAAGTTTGTTTGACAAGTTTGTTTGTATAGCACTACTCAAACAAAATATCTTAGTAAACTTTCAGAGAATGAGAAGTAAATTATGGAGGGTGAATAAGACACTGCACTCGGAAAGAAAATTCTAAAATGATATAAAATAATAATGTATGAAGTTTATATTATCAAAAAATTCAAATAATTAACAATAAAATTTAAACAGAGGCTGCATGGAGATGAAAGATTTTAACCATGGACATATATTGCTGAAAGAATAATTCAAACTCACAACATGTAACAGAATATATACTGCATAAAAGAAACATTAGATGGTATTTGAAGGTGAAGAACTGTCTAACTAACGATTTGAACAAGACTGAATTTTTCTTGTACTCCAAAATTTCCAAATATATCCAAGCCAAAAATATTGTGATGATTCCAAGCAAAAACAACACTTGAAATTGGGAGATACACAAAATATGTTATGTCAACCAAGGAAAGGAATATACACTAACAAAGTTCGTAAAGAAGAGAGCACAAAACAGACATCAAGTTCAAAATGAAACAATGAACAATATTGCAATGACTAATAATACATTTGAGACCCTTCACATTCTTAGTTACTAGTGGATGGGTGTGCTGTTAAAATTTGTAAAATACAAATTTAAATTTGGATTTGAAAGTATATATGTTGTGTGCCGATATTGTTTCCCAGACCAAAGTTCATGTTCAAGCCCTATCCACTTCACTATATAATTTACGTTGTGTTAACACCATCTCAAGCCTTCACATATAGTATAGTATAGATAGATAGAAGAAGATAATAGTATAGATATAACTGTAATGCAAAGACATTAACAATTTTATTGGTAATCACTCATTAAATTAATGTTACAAATAAACTTGTATTCTAACCAAACAAAAGAAGCAGTCAGGTCAAACAGTATTGTGCTCAAAATTGGATGACTAATTCTTCAACTCAAACACATAAAAATCTTCACAACCTGAATTTATAGATATTTCTGCTTAAGTTTCCGTAAACACAGAATTTATAATTTTGGTGTTAGAAATGTTTTAGTTGATTTTGATTATCTATAACATTATAAACAAAATGTTTTAGTTGCTTTTCATGGACTCTTTACCCTTTCAATACTCAACTAACAGTTCCATGGTCCTAAACAAATTAATGAAGCTTTAATGGTTAGTATATGAAACAGGTTATATATCTAGACAGAATTACATAATCAAAATGTACTAACACTATTATAAGCCAAATGTTTAGAATAAATCATAATGAAAATGAAACCTTGTAGATGTTCTTCTCAGACAATCTGCAAAATAAAATAAAATTAGATCCATGCACCAATACTGCCACAAGCCTCTGCACGTTTAAACATATAATTCCCACAAAACAATTTGTAGATTGCAGATATGAATTAGAAGGCATTACTCACAATCCTTTTTTAGATAGACCTTTCAATGAATTTAACTGTTGTGAATGGTGGTGTAAAAAAAACACATTGTTAGAGTTAAAGGCCAATTCATTGCTTCAATAGAATTTATAATATAAAGTTAACCTTTGTAGGCTTGTGACCATTGTCAACAAGCTCCCAACGCTCTTTATCTAAACGGAGCACTTCCACATCTCCATCATCATACAGTACCTTTAACACAAAATTGATCAGAGAAAATTATGTCAAAGAACCATATGAGATTACAATTATAACATTATTGATAAATAAATAAATAAAATGTGTATCTCCAAAACATGACTAACACAAGCTCTGTTATCAGAATCTTACGATTCACGATTCGATTCACGATTCGATACGCAATTTTTGCAAAATCGATACGAATCTATGAGTGAATCTATTTTGGAAGTGAATCTCTAGTGAATCGCACGATTCACAATCGATTCACGATTCGATTCACTTTTTACGATTCATGCAATTTTTGAAATTATTGTATTCGACATATTTTCGACTCATTTTTTCCATCTTTTTAGTGAAAATGACATAATACAACTTCTAATAGTATTTAATACCAAAATAACCAACATATATATATGATTTGTTGTTATTTTAGTGATCATGGAGTTTTTTATAGGATCCAATCAGATTCAGTCAGACCTAACATATTTTTAACCTTTCTTCTCATTTTTGTCCCCTTCAAAAAATTGTAATATATCTTCTAAAGATGTTTAAGATTAGAGTTACACTATGAATTATCTATTACTATTTTATTAAATTGAATACTACATGTGTGAGGTCAGTTATACCTGTTAAAATGTTTTAGGCTTTAAAATAAAATATCCTAAATAATTCTTACTTATTATTTGCTCACTCTTACTTAGAAAAGTATATATGCTTATTGTCCAAATATCAATATCGTTGTTAACTATTGTTACTTTAGAAATTAATAGTTTCTATTTGGTTATTACCTTTATTAAGAATAGTTGATAAAAAAATCTAAAAAAAAGAAAGAAGGTAAGATGGTGATTTTACGTAGGAACCTTTGCTAACTTCTTACCTATTAAATTACATGATTATCATTCAAAATAACATTTTTGTTGATTTAAGTCTAAATATTTTATATTCATAAGATACATTTAGCATCTAAATGTGTAGATATATGTTTTTAAGTGATTTAAAAAAGTGACCGAATCTTTACGATTCACGATTCGATTCGATTCGCGATTCGGTACGAGACCATTTCGATTCACGATACGAATCCCGATTTGACAACTATGAACACAAGTATTAGAATAAAAAAATAGAACATGGAACGGTGCACTTGCCACATATTTCTTATGTTCAGAGTCATAAGACTTCACTACTCCATAAAACCTGTTGATTTTAACAAGACACTATCAAGACACAATTCTTGCAGCAGCGTATACACACAAGGATTTTGGAGTGCAAACCACGTGTACAAAAAGTACACACTACTAAGGTAATCAAGGATTGGCATTCCCTAGATCAAGATTATACTTTTTGTACACGGATATATATACATGCTAACAAGGCAATTTTCAAAAAGCATAAAACCAGCAGAGCCATGACAATATATACATATATATATATATATATTTACATTTGGAAATTATAAATATAAATTTTGATTTGATTCTCCCATTTTTTCTTTGTATGTCATGTTCGACAAATAGAAAATATAAATAAAGTAAAAAAAGATGATGAATGGGTTTGAGACTTGCATCCACATGTAATCCATCTCCAGACAGCCCACAAATTGATTTGGCTGATGAAAATTGGCAGCGTCAAAGCAATCAAAAGATGGTAGCTAAAGAGCAAACATGAGATCAATATATATAATTTTTTAATCATCATGACAACCCAAGCAACATCAGCCAAAGGCCACAAGACTGGGAGGTCAATGCAAGCAAGGGCCAAAGAGAATATGCCAGAAGCCCTTCTCCACTAGCCAGAGGTCATTGGCCCTGGGGTACACACCGCTGGGCAGAAGTCATCTTCACCAGTCACCCACGTTGGGATGTGCCAGTGCGACTGACAACTGGGTACAAGTCATCTTGGCCCATCACTAATATTGGGATGTGCGAGTGTAGAGTCAAATTTTCTTTCCATTCTGAATGTATCAAGCTTTTTATTTTTATTTTTACCACTTTGACCGTTCATTAAATGGCTTCCAAAATTAGAGTTTGGCCCCTGCCATTTTTGGTCTGTGTGAGTCTGATTCTCATACAGGGATGTCCTCACCAAGTCAGCAACATGTCAGGTTAAACTAAATTAACAGATGTTGGGGCATGTCTCCAGTGTTTGACACCTATCCGTGTCCAAAAATGTGTATATGTCACATATAGGGAAGTGTCCTTGCTTCCTTGCAGGAAAGACACAATTAGGAATGGAACAGAACTTATGAGTAGCTATTGATTAAGTCATAAACAAGGTCAACTATTTGAGATGACTCAATCAAAGGATTAAGAAAAGTTTTAATGTATGCCAAAGAATCCAATATGGATGGCATAGAAAACAGAGTGACAAACTGATCAAAAGTCGCAGACTCCTAGTAGTAGCAGACCACCCATGGCCCTAAACAAAGGAGTAGAATGGGAAACTTTCATGAAACTGAACTAAAGAAGAATTTGGTAAGGG